CAAATTACAGAAAACCCTCACTATTCGTGGGTTCGGTATTCACAGTTTCAAATAGTCGCAAATGCTGAATCCACTTCTTAAATACACTTAAAGGTGCTCCTTGGGAGCTCTGCGCTTGCTGCTGCCTGGCTCCTGCCACCACCGCTGAGCTCCCGCTGCCACCACCACACTCCCACTGTCGCTAGAGCAGCCATGCCCCCTCCCCCCACAGCCGCCGGGGGCACTGAGGTCATGAACGCAGATGGCATTCATGAACGCAGTGCCTTATTTGTGGATTTTGCCACTCACGGGGGAGATGAGAATATATCCCCTGCAAATGGCAAGGGTTGCCTGTACTATCTTTAGGCTTGGTCACTGTATATTTTAGACCTCTATAAGATATTAATGCAAAAAAAAAGTTGTGTTTTTTCCTACTAAAAATATTAAAAGCACAATATTATGGTATCATATTAGTATAAAGTACAGCAGAAAGCTAATTATTTCTGATTAATATAAAGGCATTAGCAGGAGATATTGTAAACATATTGCTATTAAGGAAAATTAGAGATGGATTAAAATGGTATTTGAGAAAGGAATTAGAAAAATAAATATGTTTTTGGAAAGGTTGAAAATTCCTCAAGAAACTCATGGGAAGAAAACTCAGAATATCTAAGCTAGAGACTCTTGGAAAACATTCGATTTCCTAATACGATAGAAATCTAGCTACCATATATTTTTTTCAAGTGCTTATAAAAAAATCTGGTATCTCAACTATTAAGATGCTTAACAAAGACCAACAGCGATCTAAGCTTGTTTTAAGGCCCTTCTATCTTCCGTGAATTCAGCAACTTGTAAGTAATCACGAGCTTCCATTAAAAACATGTACAGTTATGTTAAAAGTAGGTCCATTTTCAGTCTTAAAAATCATTTGACCAGATAGGGCCTAACTACCTGAATGTCAAAAAAAAATTGGTACACAGATCGTTGAATGAGGCTGGAGTTCATATATGAAACAAAACATTATGAGTGCCTATAAATGAGCAGGGAGGTTTCTCCAGCATGCTATAATTACAGAACATCAGAGCAGACTAAATTTAATAAAGTCTGCTGAAGCATAGTAATTACAATGCTCCAACAGCTTCCAGCATCTTGTGTATCAGTGTCCCTGCACTTCAAAATGGTGATGGTGGGGGCACTTTAAGGCTCATTTGACAAGCTTTAGATAAAGCACTCCTACCACCATTTTGAAGCACAGGGATGCTGATACATGAGATACTCTGGGCACTTTAAGTAGAGCGGCTTTCAAAGCTGCTCTAATTAAAGCACCCTCCCCTCCCCATTCCCACAGCATGTGTATAAATGTCCTATGAGTGAAATGACATTTGGCCTCATTTAGACAAAGAGAGGTAGTTGTCTGTGTTATTCTGAAGTCAGGCAGAAGGCAAGGATTTATAAGAGAGAAGGATTTACAAACCATAAGGAACATTATCTTTGATGAGGACACTGCTTGTTTCCATTGCATTCTCCTGCCTTGTCCTCACACACAACAATTTCAGATTTGGAGGTCTTCCTATACCTACGAAAAATGGCACTGCCATGAACACATGTATGACCCCTGAGTATGTACATATATTTAAGACAGACCTTGAAGTTGGTTACCTATGCAGCTGCTTTCATCCCCCTAAGATACCTTTGGTACACTGAAGATAGCTTCATCATATGGACACAAGGAAAGGAATCGCTAGAGAAGTTTCACCAGGACTTTAACAGCTTCCATCCCACCATCAAACTGACCCTGGAATATCCACCCAGCAAATTCATTTTCTACATGCCATAGGCAAAAGTTTGCAGTGGCCACATCACCATCACATTGTACTAGAAAACAACCACCTGCTATAAGTACCTTTGTGCACAAGCTTTCATCCTAAGTACCCATCCCCACAGCCAGTCTCTACATAACAAGCACAACTGTTCCAGTCCCACCCATTAAGATGCAAACTTTAAAGACCTGGAGCAGGGACTACTACATTTACAATATCATTGCAAAACCAATAGAACCAGACTTGAATTCTGTACCAACCTGCTACAGTATCACCCCCATGACACAGAAACAGAATCCCTCTTGTTCTCACCCACCTTCCCAGCTTGGCCTCTAATCCCCCTGGGAAAATGATGATCATCTCAACGCAGTAATGGGGGACAAACCTATCCTGGCTTACAGATAGCAACAGGTTATCTAACTCCTACTCTTAATGAGGCATCAGGCCTTTCAACAGACCCATATGCCAGCTGTGAAAGATGACAGATAAGGAGAGCAAGGTGGAGGAAGCAGCACATCAAGGGACATTTAATTTTCCTTCCAGTAGATCTCCTAAGGCCTTCATGAGTAGTGGGGTGGGCAAGCATCCTTCATCAACACAGACCATATCATCACTAGACCTAATAACACAGGGTACCTATGCACATGCCTGATGGCTGCTTCAACACATGCTAATTAGGATACATTGAAACATTCATAGATTTCATAGACATTAGGGCTGGAAGGACCTCAGAAGATCATCGAGTCCAGCCCCCCACCCGAAGGGCAGGAAGTCAGCTGGGGTCATAGGATCCCAGCAAGATAAACATCCAATTTTCTCTTGAAGGTGTTCAATGTAGGTGCTTGATCCACCTCCGATGGCAGGCTATTCCAGACCTTGGGGGTTTGGACAGTAAAGAAATTCTTCCTTATGTCCAGCCTGAAATGGTCTTGCAGTAGTTTATAACCGTTCAACCTCGTCATCCCTTGGGGTGCTCTGGTGAACAAACGTTCCCCCAGATACTGGTGGTCACCCCAATAAACTTATAGGTGGCCATCAGCTCACCCCTGAGCCTGCGCTTTTCCAGGCTAAAGAGCCCCATGGCTCTCAGCCTGTCATC